AGCTGAAAAACTTGATAATAAAAATGTAAATAATAAAATGTAATTTCACAGGCTAAATGTACACAGACACGCAAACACAAAAATTCTCAGAGGTGTTTAAGGAAGGGGTGAATGGATGGAAAGAGATCTCATCCCTATCCTGTTTCTGGAAATCAGCCTCCTGCAACCTGGCACCCACTGAACTACAAATCCCATCATCCCCAATCACTATCCCTGCTGGCTGGACATTGCAATCTGGTGAGTGTCAGGTTGGAGAAGGCTCGTCTAGAGGATCTCTCTCTCTCTCTCCACATGCGCGCACACACACTTCCTTGTCCAGACCTGACAAGGAGACTCATATACAACATAACTACATTTTCCATTCAGTTACGGTTTCCTGCACTGAATTGACTAGCAGAAAAAATTGTCAAATGGAGACACACTGAGCCTGCCAGAATCTGTATTTGGTGCCTTTCTAAGGAAACTCTCTCTGCCAGCGCTGACAGACCTGTCCCTCCCACCAACTTTTCATGCAGGCAGGTGCCCTGGAGCCCTCCTGCCAACGTCAGGTGCCCTTTTGCAACCCTGCACAGGTTCAGAGAGAAGAGGAAAACACCAAGCACACCCCACCGCTCAGTGCTGATTCCTCCTTGGCTTTAGCCCACATTCTTTATCGCCAGTCTCCACAAGAGCAGCGAAGGGAGGGGAAAAACCATGAAACACATTTTCCAGCCGACACCCCCTCAGCCTCCCCCTCCCACACCAATCACACAGGAATAAAATGGATGCTATGCACGTCCCTCCCTCGGAGCTTTGCTGGTGCTCCATGACCTCACCATCCGAGCGGGAGCCAAGTTTGGAACTCCATCTGGGACAAATAAGATTGGGCCACAGTGCACTCTCTTTTGTTTATACACAGTGACTTAGAATGTCTTGGTGGTAAGCAAACTCACTTAGGAGATTTATTTCTCAAGTCTTCCAAAACAATTTTTTGCACTCTGGAACTACTTTGCGACTCAGATTAACTTTCCAAGATAGCAAGCTAGTGGGGTTTTTCCCCTTCTCCCTCTCCAAAGATAATTAATTGTTTCTGAAAGTTATAATTAGCCCAAATGCTGCAGCAGTCTCTTGAAAATTAAGAAAAGGGCACTGTAGCAGCAGAAGAAAATCAAAGTATTGTGTTACCACAATCAACCAGGAAAAAAGTATCAGTCAACAGACCACAGTATTATAAAACCTGGCTTATCTTCCTTCTAGGTGGACCTGCACTCAAGGAACTCTAAAGCCCCCTTTAGATCTGCAATATGGATACCATGAGCACACGTATGATGGGGACAGGGCTGCTGGAGCCCGCCAGCACTTTCATTTCAGGATCTGGAAAGCGCTTATGGATGTGTAGGTGCACCTTGATTGGGCTGACACCCTGCTTGGCAATGCACTTTCCACACCAACATTCTCCCCTATCTCTACCTGTGTGCCTACAAAATTCCCCTGAGCTGTCTCTGCCCCTCCAGCAAGCTCCATGGGCTCCCACACTCCCAAGGCCTGGCACCCACAAGGACCATCCAGGCCCTTTGATTAAGCACCTGGTCTGGTTCTGGCTCATCAAGACAGCTACTCTCAAAACATGTTACACTGGATGCGCCTTTAAGCATCCTGCCAGAAGGCTCTTCCTGGAAGCCTGAAAGAGATATCACAGGGTCAGGGAAAAGAGAGGGTAGGCAGGTGGACTGGTGCTTTGTTTTGTTTTTTTAACTAGGAGAGAGGGAGAGAAAGATCACCCATGAGTTTGTGTTTTAAAATTCAAAAAGCAGGCCTCTTTTTCACACTGAGCAGATGAGCACATAAAATGATTCTGAGATGTATCCCTCCAGGTGATGTTTACTGTGAACAATTGTTCTTGCAAAGCAAAGCAGAACCCTTTAGTAAAAAAAGAACCAGCATGACAGGGAGAACCCCTTTCCTGCAATGCTTTCCTTCTTCCGGGAGGACTTTCCCCCTTTCTCTCTCTCTGCTATGGAAGAGACTCTCTCAAGTAGGTGCAAGCAGCGCAGACCAAAAATAGGATTTATTCTTTTAGCTTTACTTGCAAGAAACTAGATCTATCATTGTAGCTGCCAGAGGAGCAGGACAGGGGCTCTGTGTGTGTGTGTGTGAGGGAGAGGGAGAGGGAGAGGGAGAGGGAGAGGGGGGAGAGAATTGAAATATCTCAGCCTTCTCCCACCTTGATTTCTCCAGATGTTTTGCACTTTACTCTCCTCATCTGCCCAGCCAGCTGAGCCAATGATCAGGAATGCTAGGAACTGTAGTCCAAAACATCCAGCAGGCACCTAGTTGGGAAAGGCTGGGATATCCAACCGGAATATCTCACAACAAAAGATACTGAAGAGCATAGCCCGAACATTTCAAACACCATGAAATCTGAGTGGAGCTTGCATAATAATGATGCTGAAAAATAAAACTCAGAAATAGAGTATGGTCCCATTACTCTGTTGGACATTATCCCTACTATAATCATGATTGCAAACTGCAGCTGTCAGTTCAGCAGTATACAAATTTAAGAATTGAACAAGTGGCAAGTTGAAGGTGAGAATGTATCAGCCTTGTCTTCTACATGCATGTGTGCCTGTGGGGGGGGGGGAGCACATATGTAGGAAAAAGCCAGCTCTGTCCCCCACCCCATGAACCTGCTATTTGATTGAACAATGACACCCAAACAGGGCTCATGTGAAACAGAAAATTTACAAAAAATTAATAACCATGGCTTTGTGTCTGATTTAGCTCAAAATCTTTCTGAACGGTTATATTTCAAGCACACAAATTTGTGCTATTTCAAGCACAAATAGATGGAATGTTTTCCCAGGATACTGTGGCATAATGGAACTGTACTCAGTGCCTGGGACTGGGCATCCGGGTTTTAAACCCAGCTTTAGAGTACCAGCTTCTTCTCTGGAATGATTCATTTTTCCAGAGTTCTCAAGCAGAGATGCTGAAGTCTGTTACAATTATAATTCTTTGTTTCACTCTCAGTAAGTATTGAGTCTGTCCTTTTACAATAGATGCGAAATAGCAAATGAGTTCCAAAGCCCAATGATTCTCTGTACATATCATATGGCTATTTAATTCTCTTTCCTGCTTAAATTTTGGCTGTTTCACCCTATGGTGGGCACATCTTTGTTGCTTTCATTGGCTAACTTCTAGATTTTGTTTCAAACAACATCCAGCTCAGTAGACCTCAGGGATTTGCTTTGTTAAAAAAAGCCAATGAATGGTAAAAAGAGAAGGAAGGGGGCTCTAGTCCATATGCAAGACAAGCAGCTGCAGAAGGTCAGGGGATGAGCCAGACAACTGAAATCAGGAGGATGGCAGGCACGTGTCTTGCATGCAGGAAGTTCCAGGCTCAGCCCTTGGCCTCTCTGGTTACAAACAAATCTCAGACAGTAGAGTTGTGGGAAAGACTCCTGCCTGAGCCTTGGAGAGCAGCTGCTAGCCAGAAAAAAAAACAATACTGGACTAGCTGGGCCAGGAGTCTCTCACTTAGCATGGGCCAGGTGGTCAACAGATGTTTCCAACATCTTGTGTGTGTTTTTAAAGCACACACACACAGATACACATTTCCCTCCCAGTGACCTAACCGTCTGGTAGAAGGAAAGCTCTTTTCTGGAATCTAAACAAGGAGCAATTATGTCTGGGCAGGGTGTACTAGAACTGGGGTTCCATGACGGCAGAGCATCTGTTGTTCTAAGGCAGTTACTCTCCGAATGTGGGAGCAACTCCGGTGAAGATTGCAGTGCGCAGGAGCATGGTGATGGACCTCCAAATGCCTTGATTAGTCCATCTCTCTTCCCCATAGTTCTATCTGGGTCAAGGACCAGCTAAAAGTCCTTCTCTGCTTCTGTAGCTTTTAATGCAGGGGTGCAGAACCTGAGGTCTTTGCACCAAATTTGGCTCTCCGTTTTCCCAGCTGGCTTCATCTCCTTAGCCTGACTTTCCCCCACTAGTAATTTTATTTTTATTCATTGCATTTGTATCCCAGGCACTCTCTACAATTGTTGCAAGAATTTAAAACATCCCAACAAATTCACAAATTTCTAGAAAATATTTAAAAACCATTAATTTCTGGAAAATATTTGAAACCTTGCTATGTCAACTTGACAACAAATGTCTTGTTTCTTTGAAAAACACTATGCCATTTGCCATTTATAAAAAGCCATAATTCTTGGGTAATTGTCCAAAAATAAAACCATCCATATGGAACAGGCAACTTCAATCACCTCAGGCTGGAGAACAGACTGGATCATGTACAGGGTTAGTTATATTCAAAGCAGACCCATTGAAATGAATGAGACTTAAATTGGAGTAAGATTGGATACAACCCATTATCACTAGATGGCAGATTCATCTTGCAGATTCATGCAGTGCCTGTCAATTCTCTCTATCTTTCATCCTCTTAATTTATGCAATATAGCTAATATTCTGGTCAGGGATTATGAAGCTAAGTTTGATGTCAGATTGAAATGGTTCTATCTGATCTTCTCTGTATGATAAGGAATGACCATCTGCCATTGTCTTATTACCGATGCAAAGAGAAATACACAATGCAGATGTCCCAAAAATGCAGTGATTCCCCTCACAAAATCCTGATTTTCTGCACAATTCTAGCCCCGTTGTCTTTATCTCTCTCCACACAAACTGACCACTTAAAGTGAGGAAAAATAAAATGATGTACTTTCCTGATCAGCCCTCTACAAGTGCTGTGTGGGGCTGCAGCAACCTTACTTAAGTTAAATAGGTATGGGTAGAGTCAATGCATGGATGGAAAAACTTCTTAGAAATCCATGTAAACTATCTGGAATGGTGCTATGGAAGAATGGCCTCCTCGGTGAAAGACGTGCCCATCAAACTCAAAGGAAAGCAAGTTGCAAGTCACACTGCTCAGAAGTGCCATAGCTTATGCTCTCCTCATTATCTTAAGTTAAGAAAGAGACATCTCATCTGTGCGATGCTGTGCTCCATCCTACCTGCTGCGTTCCATCTCCGTTGACTAAGTGAGGCATCATGGCTACCTCCCCATTCAGCAATGATGATAGCTCCAGTGGGATTTGGTCGGTCATCATCATTGTGACGTACATTCATGGAGAATTTTCCACAGCGGACCTCCTAAGAAAACAAACAAACAAAGATGGGGAGATATGGCTTAGATGAATCATAACACTTGGAAGCTTCATTCTTGCTTCAATACCCGTAAGAGCTGGTGTGCTTCCAGATGGACAGCTCCTTGTGCTAATAAATTATTGCTCTTCCATTTCAGTTACGAGCAGCATTAGACTTGACTTCAAACATGATTACTTGGGATATGATACATATTGCACAATCATAAGCATGTCTGTGCAGATGTACAACCCACTGAGTTCAATGGGCCTTACTCCCAAGGAAGTGTGCATGGGGTTGCAGCCAGAAATGTTACTCAGATACCATATCTTCCTGATTGTCCAAGGTTTTGTATTTTAGGTATTTTATATTCAGAACTGGTAAACTGCCTTTAATAGTTAAAAAGGGCGCATAAAATTATTTGCTTTCCTGCTTTTATTGTAAGGTTCAGGGTCAGTTACAACCCCTTAATTACACATAATGAAGTCCAAACTTTACAAATAAATCCCATGCAAAGTAATTCTAAATTAAATGAATTTCAAAATTAACCTCTCCCAGAGTACACATTTACTATAGGTGGTCATTCACCTAAAATGCCAGTTTAAGCAAAAGATTTTAGAAGATACTTGGACAAACATTCAGGGTCAGACCTGCACCAATGGCTAAGTGGCCTCCCTTCAGGAACAAAAAGGAGCATATATTCTAGTGTTTTGCTTAGGGGGAAATCCATCACACAAGCAGGAAGTCATCAGTAGCTTACCAGTGAAGTTATAAGTGCTAAGTACCCCCTCCCCATAACCTGGATGCCTGCAAGGGTAAGGTCTTCAGAAAGGAAGCTGCAGGTGTAAAGGTTTCCACAGGATACTAGCCACCTCATGCTATTGAGGTTCCAAGTCAGGTTGAGGCTTTCCACATGCAACCTCTGGTACAAGCAAAGGACTTCTTCCTTCCTTTGCGAAGAAGTTGAAGCCATCTACATGGTCTACTCAGCACATGCAGCATCAGAGATGGAGCTACTCAATGCATCTGTGTCTTCTCAATGCAATATGAGAAGACATATTGGCCTCAAACAATGGGGCATTTATCAAACACAGCAACATCTGCACACTGGACTTAGCCCTAAGTGTAATGCTGAATGCCCAGATTTTTTTTAGAAAAAATGAAATATGAAATATGACACATGATTTTCTCAGGCTGGGTATACCATTCCTAGTCAACATTTCAAGAGCTTTCAGGAAAAGTTATGTGGGTTTGTAACATTGCATTTCTTAAATTCAGTGTTAATTATGTCCTCACACTGGTTCACAAGGCCATAATTCTGTCTCTCTACAGACACACGTGAAAGTCCATTCACAGATTAAGGAAACAGATATTTCTAGACAAAAATGAACAGGAAAATCACTTAATATACTTTGTGCATCTGCACATATTCCTTAACCTTAATCCTATGTTATTCCTCCTTACCCTGCAGTACATGCAGACCAGGAAAGATATTGGATGCTGTGTTTCATTTCATTTTATTTTATTTTTGTCTTACTGTTAAACTGTCCTGAGACTACAGTAAGGGATGGTCTGAAAAAGTTTTAAATAAATAAATATAGAAGCCGGTTGCAGGATCAGGAGCCGCAAGCATCAGACAGGCCATAAGGGCTTGGGAAGCAGTGAATGCAGTCACTTAATTTGCGAATGGTCCGTGCTTGTCAAGGAAATCAGTCCAGAGAAGACATATTGGCCTCAAACAATGGGGCATTTATCAAACACAGCAACATAGATTGGGTCAAAACTGGCAAAGTTACAGAGTTAGGGGAAAGCAAACCTGGTATTCAAAGGCTACCAAATGGAATTGCTTTTTGATGTCACTTGAATCTGACAGAGTGCCTTATTTCCTACTGGCTTCTTCTCCAAAATATAAACAAATATTTCCTTGTGCCAGTGTCAATCACCTTCACTCAACCCACCTATCAAATGCCCACACCAAGTCTCCAATCATTTCACACTCCCTATGCTCTCCCCAGAGACACACAGACATATACAATTTCCCACATTTACGGGCACAAAGGACAAGAGGGATCTATGCAAGACCCCCATGCCTAGCTTAAACAAGAACCTCCTGTAAATCTGCAGATTAATCATGCTGGGGTTTTGTTTTTATATTTAAGACTTATTTTACTTTTGACAAGTTAAAAGATGGATTTCCAGAGCTGGTGTGGAAACACATGATTCTATTCTTTGCCTAAATTTTAGAAAAAATAAATTAGGCACTGGTTCATGACATCTTCAAGACTGCGTCTGCATGTTCATGAAAGTCTATCAATCATGCAAGGAAAGGAGCAATTGCCAAGAGAGAGAGAGAGAGAGAGAGAGAGAGAGAGAGAGAGAGA